CTCTTCCGATCTGAACACTGATCAGTCGTTTTTGCGCGACGTAGTTTACTGCATCACAGAGTCGCAGTGGTAAGAAGAATGCAATCTCGCCCATAGGTTGACTGACGAAGGTCGGGCGCAGTAGTAGACGATGTCTTTACCCTCCCAGACGATGTCTTTACCCTCCCAAGTTTGGTACCAGTTTGGACCGGTCCGCTTGGGGGGCGATTTGGGTAAGGTTTTTTTGGCTCAGGCGAAAGCCGATCTGGATACGGAGTCTCGGCACCGTGCGGTTGTGTGTTTCCTCCTTTATGGGAGCTAACCAGTGATAAATAAAGTAATGGTTCATCTTTGTCAGAAAGGGTACTCTGGTTGTTTCCACCCACAAATATCGAGGAAAGCAGTGTTGTATCCTTCTTTTCTAGAGCTTATTTCTAGAGCAATGGCTCGTGCTGGAAATGCGTACTCCAAGAAAGAGGATCTGAAAGAGGCTCTCAATTGGTACGAGAAGTCCGTATCTGAGTTCAGAGATCCAGTGGGTGTTACCCGTCAATTGCTTTTCGTCTTGATTATGGGATAAATATGCTTGACTACATTTCGGTAGCTCTACTGAATAGCAGAATGTCTTATTTGCAGGAGGTTGTCAAGAGAGCAAAAGAGCTCGAGAAGCTGATCAAAGAAACTGAACGGTTGGCATACATCAATCCTGAATTGGCTCAGGAGGAGAAGAACTTAGGCAATGAATTGTTCAAGGTGCTCTATTGATTTTCGTATTTGTTTCTGTTTATACGTACTTTTGCATTCGTGTTTGTTTACCTGTAATATTATGAAGGGTTTAGAAAGGAGACTACCCTGGCGCTATGAAGCATTACAATGAAGCTGTGAAACGAGATCCGGAGAATGCTATTCTTTATTCGAATCGTGCTGCTTGCTACACGAAGCTAATGGACTTCCCACGGGCGCTCGACGATTGTGAACAATGCATCAAACGTGATCCGAAATTCAGTAAGTTTGACAAAAAAAGCGTTTAGGGCGCTTGTCCAGTAAGTAAGTCTGCTGCCAGTACGTTTCTTTTGATATTGTATGGTTGGACATGTCACGACATTGTATGACGATTTGGGACCAAGAGAGAAGCTGTGTTCCTTTCCTCCTCGTTTCTTCGATTGATTTTTATGGTGCTGTGGAGAAAGGATGAGAATTTTCGTCGAGATCCTAAGGTTACAGGGCTTCTGTCAACTGGATGTCCTCTCACTGCGAGGGTCCAGACAAATTTTATCATTGAATTTTTTATAGGATGAACTTTTAAAGAGGAGTGAATAAAAAAGAGGGAAGAGATTAGGAAGGAGAAGAAAAAGGAAGGGCGGCAGATACCCTGAGACTAAAACGGCTACGCGTTCATACTTCGCGATACAATCACTCCACCACGGCCGAAAACGCTCGGTGAACACCGCAACGGCAGCATTCAGACTGCACCACGTTCATAGCACAGTGCACAAACGTGGCCCAGTTGGCTCCGCCATTGCAGCGGTCCGTGGGCAGTAGAGCCCCAGTCGGTCGCGCGATTCATTCGCTTTGATTGCGAAATATGAACACGCCCTGGTCCGAGTCCTTTGTGCAGAAGATTCTGTGAGTTTTTCGAATTTGTGGCAAGGGGATACCTACCCTTCCCGCTCCCCCTCAGTGACTTACCATGGGAAGTCATGAGACGTGACATGTCCTCGCAAATAAACTATTGAGTTACGGACCTATATTGGACTAGCGTCAGTGGTGGTTCTCTGCAGGCGTTCATAAGTTTCGATTTCTGTTGCGGCATCCTCATAGGCTGCACAGAAGTACATGCGTAGCTGTGTGAAGCGCCTCACGAACTCCCACCTTCTAATTACTGTAGCGCTCTGATACTTAGCTGTGACTGTAAGTCACTTTAAATTACCAGTTTTAAGGTTTGAAATGCTCAATTTCAGTCAAA